CCCCTCCTCGACTCCTGGAATCCTCGGTCCTCCGGTAGTGACCCGGAAATGGTTTTTGGCGGGCCATGTTGAAGGACATCTCATTTCTCTAAATGCACATCGAGGACCGAGGATCGAGCGCCGAGGAGGCTCTCTGGAGGAGCTATAATCGAGGATACACTGATGGATCCTCCGCGGATGCATTTCCGGCAACAGTGATGTTTAAAAGAGTCGTGACGCACGGCCGGACTTATCTCAGCCAATGACAGCTCTGCATGCATCCCCTGGATATTATTTTATTAACTGCTTTCATCGCGACGCGATGTTTACAGTGAGAACAGCTGTGAGGTCCGTGCAGAAAGCAGAGCAGTGTGTAAAATATATATCACTCAGTATAACAGGCCTACATTCCTCTCTTTATTTGCTTTAGTTTAGTAGATATCTACAAACAAAGAGTCGATATTTGTCTAAAACCATTTAGTGCTTCACATAATAAAATACACAATGGCTGTAGCCTGATATTATATGCTTTAGGAGCTGTAGGTGTGTGTTGTACAGTGTGTGTATGTGTGTGCGTAGATGCGGCGGACAGACAGGTCTCAGTTGGTTTGGTGTCCGATGCTTACTTTTAATACTTGTAAATAAAACTTTTGGCCCGTAATTTAATTTCCTTATTGTAGCGACCAGAGAGGGGGGGGGGGGGGGGAATATATCCAGTCTCTGATAGTGTTACGTTATTATGCTGTGAGTGCTCTCGTACTTGTTTGATTCTGAAATTGTATATATTTATATAATATATATATATATATATACCTATATATATATATATGTGTGTGTATGTCCGCATCTGTAGCCTGTTATTGTCTCATTATACCGCACTGTGAATGAATTAAAAGTAAATATATAAGTCATCATGAACACAGTTCTGTCCATCAGACAGAGTGCTGCTGTGCCTCCTGTCATCATTAATGGACGTCTCTTTAAAATGACCGCTCAGAGGAGAGGATTTCTCATTTCTCTAACCGCCTGCTGCTTCCCCTCCTCTCTCCCCGGTTCCCCTCCTCGGCTCGCATCTCCTGTGGGCGGGACTAAGACACGAGGAAGGAGTCGAGGAGGGGAAATTAGTGAAATGAGAAAGGCCCACTGAGTCAGCACCCGTCACTTCCTGTGGTCATCATCAGGAGCTCAGCAGCTGCAGCTCCAGAAACAAACAGAGCGCTCCTCCGTATACAGGTAAACCTCAGCATGGAGGTTGGACAGATAATATCCATCATGCATTATTTTCAGGCATTATTTATTAGGATAATGAAATGTTGGACCACTAGTGGCTCCATCCATCAATAATCTATAAGCATCCATCATCCTGTGCAGGGAGTCTGAGGCTGCATTCAATCACACACCGGGGCAGGTCACTAGTCATTATGGGGCTGATATTTGTACAGTGAAGTCTCACATAAAAGACAATGTTAAAGTAATTGAAGTCTCAAATAAAAGCAAAAACAAATAAACTCTGTGCTGAAGTAATTTTATTTTTCCATTCACTAACTATTCCCGGTCTCTTCATGGTGTAATTTCTCAATTAAAGTGAAGCTACTACCAATTACATCAAGCATTTCCTGCTGATTTTCCACATTAAGAGCCAACCAATTAAAGCTGAAAGAATATAGTGGAAACCAATCCCATTCTTAGGTGCACAAAGCTGGACTTTGGCTTCTTCAAACATAGTGGTTAGCAAACATAAATGGTTGTCGCTCATGTTCACGTGCGTTTCGTTTGGAATATTGAGGGTAACACGTGTCCCATAGAAAGTCAGACCAATTCCTACGATCATGTGCGGCCGATGGCAGGCATTTACACACAGTCTACATTCTGTTGGTCCTACTACGTTTAGCAAACCAATATGTTCCGAGAGCGTAAAACAATCAGAAAATAAACAAGTACATCAGTGAAAAAGTGAAAGATCTTGAATATGGCTTTCTTATCGGACAATGACAATACGGGCAACAATACTAAAAGCCTTGAGTAGATATTCAGTTTGCTGCCCTGCTAGAAGATTAGAACAACATGTAACTGCAACCCACACTCTGACAGGAACAAAAGAGAAAACTTTGCAACAGGATATTTGATCAACCATTAGCTCGCTTGAGACATAAATCTGCACTTTGCATTGTTGAGATTTGGGAGACGTTCACCTCCTTATGTGTATTTACAAAGACTAATGATTACAACCAATAATTACTTTCAGTACTAATTAGACCTGTTGATATTTTCTGAGTCTGACCAATATACCAAAACCAAAATAAGTTAATAGTGATATAAATCAGAGAAAAGCTAAAATGTTCAAAAGATGACAAATTGGAAATTGTGTTTTTTTGAAAAATTACTATTTGTCAGTTAATCAATTAATCAACTAATCATTTCTCCTCTAGTTATAGCAGATGTAGAAACCCTTGCCTGAAGCATAGACCACCTCTGCTAACGTCATGAAATAACAATTACTCTTTTATTCAAAATTACAACATTAACCCTAAGGGAAAAAGAGCAGAGGTGCCATTTCTCACAACAAAGTCATTATATGGAGTGTAGCTAATTGTTAAGGCCGTCATCTGTTAACATCACAAGACAATATGCGTCAGGATCTGTGTGGTGGATCACCTCAGCTGAAGCATTTCATGGGGAAAACCCTGAATACTAGTCATCAGAATGTACATTTTAATATAACCTCCTGTGAAATTCCCTCAGAATCTTGTACGTTGTTAATCACTTGTATCTATCATTACATAATAAATGTGTGGGGTCTGACATCTAGCAAATAAAGTGAGAGTTTCTGATCCAATGCACCTGTCAAAAAGACTTTGTATAGACTCTGTCACATTTATATTGTTTTGTAAATGAGTCAGGGAAGTTAAATCCCTGGCTTCTCCAGTCTGCATGTCGAAGTGTCCTTGGGCAAGATACTGAAACCTGAATTGCTCCCGAAGGCACTGCCATTGGTGTGTGTGAGTGTGCACAAGCATTAGATCAGATGATGAGCAGTTTGGCACCTTGTATAGCAGCCCTGTCATCAGTGTATTAATGTGTGTTTAAGTGGAAAATGTTGGCATGTAGAGTAAAACTGCTTTAAGTGGTTTGAAGACTAGAAAGGCGCTGTCAAAGTACATTTATCGTACTGATCCAATGCATTACTAATGATTTGCTTTCAAAAAACATAGCACATGTCAGACCTCTGGACTCAGTGGGTGAAATATGATGCATTCATCAGTGAAAATGGGGAAATGTTATCAACTAGTCCTTTTGGGATGCAGTAAACCTCATCTTGCCACTACTCTCGTGAAAAATCCCCCTAAAATGTAACCTATATCCATAGAAAGATGCCAAAGTTTCCCTTGCAATTCATTTTATGTTGCAAAGAGCTCCTTTGTTTGGTGAATTAGCAGCAGAGGAAAACAGAAGGAGCTATGCCCTCGTTTGGAGGTCACAAGCTGAGGAGTCACCATGAGCCAAGATGCGGGATCCCCCCTCCTTCCTAACGCAATAAGGCAGGACACACCCAGATAGAGAGGGGAGGAGGAGGAGGAGGAGGAGAAGGATGAGATGGATGAAATGAGGAGTGAAAAGGAGCAGAGCTGCTACTGGTGCTCATCCGCCCATCTTTGCAGAATGACGTAAGGACGGATCTTAGCGAGCTCAACGCCCGTTAATTAAAATAAAACGAGCTCGGTAACGATTATTTGTCTCCACCGTCGTTCACAGCCTCCCCGTCATTATGACAGCCTGGAAAGCAGAAGTGCTATTTACAATGTAAATGTGGGAAAACCACTCCAACAAGCTGAACAAGCTCACCCTGAAGGCGCCGCATTCATGACGACAGTGCGAGGATAGTCCTACCATAAACACATACCTTTAATATCAAAACAGGACCGCAGCAACCAGTGTTCGCTGAAAAAAGCCGCCTTTTTCAATGAAGTTACGAGAGACAATGTAATGTACTAATGGCAAAGGGTTATGTTGGTTACCATGGGGAAATATCGGTCGGAAAACAAAACACTGTAGGCATGGACTATGAGCAAACTGTTTCCAGACACTCGCAGGCGGTCTGATTCCTGCCTCGCAACCACTGCAACAGTCGATACGTGCCGCTCTGTCGCCGGGGAGACCCCGCCACAACAGCGCCATTCAGAAACTCACCATTTAAATAAACCTCCTCGTTAAATGGTGGACGTGAAGATTTTATAGATCTTAAACCCCCCGTAAGAATCAGTAGAAACAGCCGTTCAATTCGGCATACCTCCAGTGCACTTATAAACATGATATGTTACTGAAATTATAACTTTACTAACTGATACTCACGGTCTCCTAGCTGGAAAACAAACAGAGGTGGGCGACAGGGACTAGCAAGGAGCACTGCGTAACATGTCTAAAAGTTGATATTTTGTCGAAATTAAGTGATATTCGATCTATTACAGATTAATTATTGTCTTAAAGATCATATAACAGGTGTTTTGATAAGTCTTCAAGCGATGCAAGTTGGCGTTTACAAGTCCACATTTTTTTGAATGGAGACTTGACAGCATTGACCAGTGCAGACTACAGAGGCACGTCTCGGGGCTGTAACCTAGCTAACTGTCGGGACGTTTGACGAGGAGAAACGGGTTAGAAAACGTGCCCCGGCGGGTTTGTGAGACATTGTTTGGGGAAATATCGAAGGAAATACGATACAATAGCAGGTATATTATCCCTGGAGCCTGATAGTTGTGCTTTCACACCTGTGGAAAACCCCAAATGTGCCTCTTGTTGCTAATAAGTGGGTGTCAAGGTAAAGAAACAGCGGTTGAGCACATCACCCGGATGCTAAGCAGTGCGGACAACTGGGGACACGACAGTAGAAAACACGTTAGAAAATCACTTTAATGGATACTGGGAGACAAACCACGGCGTGTTTCTTGCCACCAGCCACAAGTGAATTGAATGAAACAGGACTTTAGCCAATAAAGTTTTTTAAAATAGAGAATTTACGTTACCTCCACTCGGGGAATCCTGTCCTAATCACGTCCTGGCTGTGGTAGTGTGTGAGGCAGAGCAGCGTCTTCAGTTCAGAGGTTTGTCCATTTCCCAGCAGGGCTCCAACTTGACAACTGCAGTGGTGCAAATTGATTGACAGACCCGGGTAAGGGGGGGGTGTAGAAAAAAATCTTCAACGTCCCTTTTGTTCCGACGTTTAAACCAGTTTTCTTTGCAGTAATTGCGTTAGAGGACGCATCAAGCTCTGGTCCTGCAGCGACAGCCCCCCCCCCCCGAGGAAGGGAAAACAATCCAGATGCAGTCAGGAATCAATCCGCTGAAAGGAAGAAATTAACTCTTTCTCATGTGGAATAAAAGCAGAGGAGGGGGCAAATGCTGTGGTAACAAAGAGCAGTGGGTGGGACTGGAGGGGTCCGTCTACAAACAAGGGACCGGAGAAAATACCCAAAGTCCGGGTGAGCGTCTTTTCCTGGTGGCGGGGGAACTGAGAGAGAGGGAAGTGAGCTGGTGCTGGAGACCGCAAAAGAGGGAGGGGCCAGCCCGGGATTACCCTGGTTTTTTTAAGGTGGATCTATGAATTAATTAGGTAATCAGGCACAAACAGAGCTATTTGCTATTGAGAACTTCGGGGTGAGGAACATCCAGTAAAGCTGTCTACTTAAAGAGGAAGAAGAACATAATGTATATTAATACATCTGGTTCTCCTATGAATCAATGTATGGAGGCTCATTTCCACCAACTGCAGAGAATCAAATTATGAGACAGTCTCTCTTTTATTATTAAATACTATGCTCTCATTGTATTTTTCTAGGATACAGGAGAATGTATTGCCACTGTTAGTAAGAAAATATTTTTGAGAATCAAGTAAAAATATATATATAATAGATTAAATATTAAAGGTGGGGTAGGCCTATGTAATTTATTTCAGAAACACTTTTTGTTATATTGCATGGAATGCTCTTAACATCCCGATAGCAATGAATATATTAAATGCTTTGACAATAAATACATAAAACATTTCATCTGTGGAAGCCGTAGCGCTGTAAAAAGCACGACCAATCATTTTAGCCGGCCCGGATTCAAGTAAGTAAAATGCCTCAAATATTTTTTTTGTGTGATTATTACAATGTCTAGATTAGAACATGTACATATTCAGTTTTTGTGGAATACATTCATCAAATATGATTTTGAGCAGCTTATGTCTTTGTTGCAATATTACATACCTGGGTCAGTGTGGTAGTCAAAATAGCATGTGCACCTGTCATGGACATTGCCCTTGACATGTTCACATGTGGAAATAAAACACAAATAGAAATATAATGTATTTGATAATTCACTATAACTAAGTTCTAAATGTGTCCTCTGTTAAGATGTTGAATTAAGACCAGAATTGAATAAATGAATACATTATTTATTTCTGATAGCAGTATGTGAAATGATATCTCTAGCAATATTCTCTACTTGTATCTTATCAGTTAATTAGTTACTGTCATGGTTTTGGATTTATGTTTTCATTTTCCACCTTTTATTTTGAAATGTTTTCCTCCTTGTGTCTTGTCTGATCCTACTTCCTGTGTTTGCCTTCCTGTCGTTAGTTTCCCTGGTGTGTCTGATTGTCTGTATAGGTGCTTTCACACCGGAGTACTTTTCCCAGGAATAGTTCCGATAGTTCCTGGGATTTTGCGTTCACACCAAAAAGATCTGGAACTAGAACTTTTTTTCGCAAACCTTTTCACCCCTTTTCACCCCTTTTCAGTCCCTGAAAGGTGGTACTTTCCTGGGGAGGAAAAGGTTCCAATTTCTGATTGGCTGGACGAATTGCAATCCACGCCCCGTAAAACTCAGAAAAGATTTTGTGAAGCCGCCATTTGATTTGCTCGCATTAGCATTATTAGTATTAGCATTAACCCAGCGCACCAACGGAGAGAGAGAGAGACTAACTTATGGCAACACAAAATAAAACGTGGGAGCGGTGGAGTGATGAGGAGGTGTCGGTGCTTCTGGCGATTTACCCATGCCACCCGACTTCGGGTGGCAGTATACGCCGTGAAGTTGTTGCGGCCTGCCAGTAAACCCAAAGCAGAAGAAGAAGAAGTGACGTCAGCGGCTTCATTTGCGTAATCCTTCCTCAGGGACTTATTCCGGTGTGAACGCGATCTACTAGATAGTTCCGGAACTAAAGAGTTCCGGGGAATTATTTTCCGGGAACTATTCCTGGGAAAAGTACTTGGTGTGAAAGCGCCTATTGTGTGACTTGAACTGGTTTACCTGCATGTGTGGGTGTAGGTATTCCTTTTATTATGATACTAGGCAGTATTGTGTGACTTGCTGCATTGGTTTACCTGCATGTGTGGGTGTAGGTATTCCTTTTATTATGATAATAGGCTAAGCCAGGTAGTATTGTGTGACTTAAGTGTACAATGTAAATATGATCAGATGCTTGTTGCATCGGGACACCTGGAAGGGGGTGGTGCATGCATTCCTTTTAGTATGATAATAGGCTAAGCCAGACAGAATAAACACTTGTTCCACCACCCTATCTATTCCTTCAGGTAATCTATTACAATATAATAAGCATATGTATTAATTAATTTTCCATTTTAGAATGCCACCAGCAAAGAGAGGTCCTCGATTCAGTGTGCAGGATGTGATTGCCGCCATCCAAAAAGGAGAAAGTGAGTTTGAAATGGAAAAAAAAAACGTACCAAAACTTAAAAAACTCGAAATTAAGACCAAAGCAAAATAGAAGGAGGAATTGGAAATGGATGTATCAGAAGACGAACAGAGAGAAATTAATATCGACAAATTCACTTTTTGGGCGTTGTTTGCTCTTTTTTTGCATACTTTGTTGTATGTTTTGAACTTTTGAATTTATAAGATAAGAAAATAAATTAGAATAAATAATATGATAATTGAAGATAAATAAATAAATAGAATACATGCTTGTGTGATTGGAACCTTATAGCGACATACAAGTCAAAATATTTAAAGGATCATACTGTCGTTTGTGTGCAATTATTAATGTGACAAACAAAAGCAGGAAAGCCATTTTGTAATAAATATTGTGAATAAAGAGAAAATATGTTCTTATAAGTAGAATGTAGGGCAACACTCAGATCACTAGCTTTGTCTCTTTTGTAGTGCAGGAAACAAAAGTTCTCTTAAGATCAAATATCAAAGGAAAAAGGTAATTCCCACAGTTTTATCAAGTCTGCATTGATTCATTAAAAAATATGTTTTGGTCACAAGGACCTTTATATAGACAAAGTCTAGATACGGTTCTTTCAAAATAGTTACTGCCAGTTCAAATTTAAACACACAAATTCAACATTCGAATGAAAAATGTAAAATTGAATCTCAGCTGATTAATATAACAAGAAGCACTGGCCTTAAGTGGCGCTGTATTGAACCATTCTCTGATCCTGATCATGTATCTCTATATCAATGTAATATTTAAAAAAGAAAAGATACTTGTCCTTAAAGGTGATTTTGAGGTTTATTTAATTTAACATTTTTAGCTGGGAAGTTTTAACTGCTGTTTTAATGAAAATCTACAAACTGCTTGATAAAGACTGTTTGTGCTCATTGGTGGTGATTTTTTTTGTTTGTCCAAACGCAGTACATGAACAAAGAATCTGAAAAGAAATGTCTCTCTGACTGCCAACTGGCCACTCAATCAGCTCTGCCTCCTACGCTATGCTAATGACAGAGAGGCAGAGAGGTGGTTAAGGCTGCCATTTAACTGCACAGTACACTGCCTCACTTTCAGTACAGAGACTGCAGAAGAAGGAGAGCTACTGATTCCCAAAGTAACCATCACTCATCACAGCTGCTCTTCTTTACTGTGTGTCAGTACTTTGCATCTCAAACTGCACATACTGTCATCTTTGTTAAATAATGTTTCTACACATGGTACGCAAAATATTCTCATACCGATCAACCATTCTCCTAGAGGTTTATACTGTATAAGACTACTCTAACAATTTGAGCCTTTTTCTGAAAGGAGTTATCAAAATAATTCAAATAGTGGAATACAATTTCCAGCAGAATTGTGTTAAACACCATACATACAAAACAAATATTAACACAGCATTTGTGTTTATTATTGTCATTTATTTATAATTTTTTTATAAAAGCATTGTTTTTTAAAGGGATTGTTTCAAAAATAGGGAGGACACAATGTCAGTGTTGCTGGTAAATGAAGTCAATTGAAGCAATAATACTTTAGTGCACCTGAGTTCTCCTGCTTCAAAATATGTATTTCATCCTCATTTGAAGTTACGGTGACGTAGCTGGGTGCAAGGAAAACTATTTCAGAGTGGATTTCTAGTCTATATCTCGGTCCATCAAATACATAAGTTTGGTCTCCACCTACACCTACTGAGAGGAACGTGTGGCTCTTTTGCTGCCAAATGCTTCCCTAGTTTCTAACTTACGTGTCGCTTAAAAACAGACCTTCCTGGTCCTCTTCACTTATGTTCCCAACAGCTTGAATGGCATCCCAAAAGTAAAAAAATAATGAAAATATTATGGATGAAAATATATTAACAGTGCTATGGATGAGTTGGATAATCAGCTATATTTATTTAATAGCAATAAGAAAATGCAGCGGAGAGAAGCCAAGGCTGCAGCTGTATTAGCCACGCAAAAGCACATGACTGAGGGCCCCTCTGGGCATCAGAAGCTTGCATGCAATGCATCCTGGTATACTCTGCTCTGGCAGGGATTCACAAGTAGGATAACTTGGCTTTTTCTATCAATAAATGCTCACACTGATAACATTTTACAACATTTTCATTCACCATCAATGGCGACTTATTATTTAACCAGCAAGAGCAAATATTTGTGAAAGCATTAAAGTATAGAAACTCTCTAAATGTCTGTAAATGCATTAGACATGATGCCTAAACGTGAAGCAGTAACTGTCTTTGGCCACTTGTGGCAGCAAAAACAAGCATCACTGTATTGTGTTCTTATAGACAGGGGTGCACACAACTTTCTCAGTGAGGTACTCAGATGTGTACCCGGAGTCAGTGTTTGGTACTCCAACTTCTTCTCAACGGGGGGGGGGGGTGGTAGTGGAGTACAGCGCTTCGCGATTGTCAACGGGGGGGGGGGGGGTAGTAGTGGAGTACAGAGCTTCGTGACCGCGGAGCGTGTGAACGTTGTGATGCGCTTTAGCGCAGGGCTGCTGTACAGACCGACGTTAACAGCAGCCCTGTCTGTGCACACGGAGACCGACTCTGTCGTCCGATGATCTAACCGCCTTCTGGAAAAGCTTCACAAGCTTTGTGACACAAGTGACGGTACGCATTTCAGATTGTTGCCGCGCATGCGTACCTGCGTACCAGTTATGTGCACCCCTGCTTATAGAGTGGTGCAGGAAGGAGTCCTTAAACCTGATATTACTTTTTACAAGGGTTTATGGTTAACACTAGCTGAAGAGATTTTAACAATTTCTTCTACAGCATAAAATATATCAGTAAATACCCCACTTGTGAA